TGGCAGTGGTAAATTCACAAAATACATTTTGAAAACTATTGACAAAGGGAATAAGAGCGGATTGTGTTAATGTCACTTTAAAATAGACGGTATATTGCTGTGGATTTTGGACGATTCTTCCTTAAATGTAAAATTTATGATTTTTTTCTGTGCACACTTTGGCACTAATATTATTGGATTTATATGTGGCGTTTGAACTGGGTATATGTGTTCTTAAAATGTGAACAATAACGATTGAGATTACATTATGCCGATTTACTTCATTCTACAGTTAAAATAAACTGGATATACTGTCCTATTCTCTTCCATTTCTATAGTTTCAATTGTGTCGATAAATGGATGAATAATTTTGTAGCAAAACTTGGTAGAATAGTAGGAGAGAGAGAGAGAGAGAAAGTGGCGGTAGAGGAAGTTTTGTGCGATTGACACGATAAAAGGAGAGAAATTTGATTTTAAAAAGTTTTTAAGATGACTAGAAATACATTCCAAATGGGTTAAAGCCTTGAGAATGAGTTCAATTGATATACTGAACACGAACACGAAAAAAGAACAGGAAAATAGAAGAAAAAAAAAGAGGTCCAAAAGAAATTAATCAGCAAAGATAGTTAAGTTAAGGGAAATACGCAGGTAACGAAACCAAGGCAGAGAAAGACTCACCTTTGGAGAGAGAAAAAAGCGATGGTAACGTTTAAAAATATCTAGGGTAAAATATAATATAATAGGAGAAAGCAAAAGATATCCCGGATACGTGATCAATTACGATGGAGAGAATTCATTACTAAAAGAGAAATGGAGAGAGATGAGATAGTTTGATGAGAGAGAGAGAGAGAGAGAGAGAGAGAGAGAGAGAGAGAGAGAGAGAGAGAGAGAGAGAAAGCAAGGGGTGGGGAAGGCACAAAATAATTTGTATAGAATCTATAGAACATTGATAAAAGTGGAAGAGAGAGAATGTGTGTATGTGTCTGTGTGTGTATTGGCTCGTGTGTACGTGTGGACATTTAGTGAGTGTATTAGAGGAAGAGAGAGAAAGAGAGACACAGAGAGAGAGAGGCTGAATAATAATAACCATTAACCTTTGAGAAAAAAATATTCCAGTTTCCTTTACACTATTTTCTGTAACAGCACTGAGCTAAATTGTTCTGACTTGCATATTTCTTTTTACGCCGCATTATCTCCATTTTTGCCTCGGCCCTTTTATTTCGGTATGGCACTCAAACTTGGTCAAAAGATGCATCAAAATATTTCTGAAAAGTCTTGCAATTCTATAATAATAATAAAAACGGTGCTTATAAAGCGCTAACCGCCGAAGTTTCTAAGCGCTATTCATTTTGGTGCCTTTAACCAATCTTATATGTCCTTGTACGTCTATGGTCAAATAGATTCATAATTTCATGGTCTAGGTGACTGTTCTTTGTCATATAACGATTTAATTTTCTCTGTATTTCCACTGATCAACACTATATTAACTTGCCTCTTAAAAGCCTTAAAAGTAGGCCTATATTATCACCGAAAGCCCCATATTTTGCTTTCTTTTTTAATGTAAGTTTGTGTGAAGGTCAGCTCCTTGTTGAGGGTCTGGTAGGCTTGATACATCACAAGTTCACCTGGAAAAGTTTATTAAATCGATTACAAACTGAAGCAGAATGTTAAATACAATATGGCCCATGAAAGTATATTTTTCTTGCCTCTTTTCATGAAATGATTGAGTCACATTGGCTATTCTTAATGGATATAAATTATATATTTTCAGAACTTTATTGATCAATCTCTACGCCTCTTTACATCACGCGTGCTTTACATTGACCAACTAAGTTCTGAGAACATATAAACGTTATGTATCAATAATAGTCCATCTTTTAACAATCATTTCATGAAAAAGAGGTAGGAAATATTATTAACAGTGTAGTATATCCCAATATTCACGCATTAATGTGACTTTAAAACAGGAACGATGACAACGCATGTGCAATAGATATCCAACGTAGAAATGAATACCATGTTTAATTGGAGTTGGATTACTTGTAAGCAAGCAATGTATGCCCCCACCCCTCCATACAAAAACGAAAGAAAAAAAGATAAGATGAATAATTTAATGAAGTGATGAATAAATAGATTAAAAAATAGTATAAAAGAAATAAAGTACTAAACAATTATGGGGAAAAATGAAACAGAAAAAATTGAATATAAAAATAAATGAATAAGTTAAATAAGGAGTTAAATGAAAAATAACGAATAAATAAATAAATAAATAAATAAATAAATAAATAAATAAATAAACAAGTATATAAATATCGTAGTCTAGATTATGTTGAGGGGGGAGGGCGCTTGTCAGTACGCAGGTCGAACACCATGCAGCTAAACAAATATGAGTATGTAGGGTGAGTTGACTTTATTATGTAGAAAAAGGAAAAGAACAGAAAACCCCTGCAAATACCAAACAAAAAGACGATGCATCGATATTAGATCACTGATTATAATATACATGTACATCATCATCTGCTATCTTATTATAGAAACACCAATGAACATATGACTCTTCTATCACTATTTGTTAAAACCAATTCAATGAAATGAATCCAACTGTTTTAATCTTTTAAAAGTCTGTTATCTTATTATAGAAACACATATGAACATATGACTCTTCTATCACTAATTTTTAATATTAATCCAATAAAATGAATCCAACTGTTTAATCCTTAAAACAAACAATCAACATTACTTGGCCATTCTGACTGACTCACCCACCTAAGGTTTAAACTGAACAACAACCACTGTTAGACATAGTCTCACACGTTCTATCCAGTCACTCTTCTGGAACTATGTGAACTCTTTGAAATGAAATACAATTATCCTACAATTATTGTAAGTACTAATTTCTGCAACATAACTGTAACTAAACGTTTGTGCCGGTAAACTGTTAACTTGATTTCTTCAATCGTTAAGAGTTCATTCCACTGTAGAAGTGTTGTCGTAATTATATCTCGCATTTATAATTATGAAATATGAATGTAAATGTATTTATTCCTGTTATGTTCTGCAAATCCAAAACCATCTGTGGATCGGGAGCTAGCAAATGGGGGGGGGGGGGGGGGGGGGAGCTGACGAGAAATACTATATTATATTATGAAACATTTTAATTTATGACGCATGTTAAATGTAGGCAATATGAAATTGAGGGGCACATGCACACTATAAATAATTATCCATATTTATGTACATAGTTTTCTATTGTTAAATGTTATATTGTATTTTCTATCACTAGTATTTTCACTGTAAAAAAGCCATTGGAAGCAAAATTTCTATGTAATGTTTGCATGCAGGGACCAATAAAATAATCTTGAATCTTGAATCTTGAATCTTGAAAATGAACAACAATAACTGAAATGTATAGTGAGTAACCATACAAAATAATTCAAGACTACATGGGTATATTGACATTCATATAATGATGATAATTAGCTACTTAAGCTTTTGCTTACATAAAACAAAACTACCAATATAACATTTGTATTTTACCAACATATTCACATAAAAGACTAACTCATATCTGGAGTATCCTCGGCTGTGATCCAGCTCAACAACTCAATAAGGTGCTACTAACTGCTAGTGAACACAGGTCTCTAATACTGCAGACCCCTAAAGCTTTAAGACATACATATCAATCATTTAGTATGGTCGTTTAGCCAATGCTACCTGCAATAATCCATCCTCTACTAGCCCAACCCAAAACATATCTCTATTGATGATATTATTGTATTACATAGTTTTAAATATCAAAACCATATAATTTGATGTACTCATGAACTGGTTCTGACCAAGTAAGGTGTGACACCTAGACTAGTCACCATCCACTAAATAAACAACGAAACAAAACTATGCCGAGCAACATTCAACGATGTGCTTCACTGTGCATCCTGTAGGCTATAACATCCCACACTCAATTACATGTACTATAATCACTTAATATTATGACAAATACCTCTCATATTATTACATAATGCCTTTAATTATTCTACTGCTATATACATCTCATTAAACATAACTCAATTGTCTATTTAAAGAGTAAAACTTTCTATACACGCGTGAGCAAACTAGCTCACACTCACGGAGCAAAATCTATTGTCGGTGTGCAACAAGTGTGCACTAGACGAACAATACATTATCACTGTTAGCCACTCATAGTGTAGAAAACTTTCAATCTTTTTTTTTCTTTATGTGTTTTATTGAACAATCAAAAAACAATCACAATATTTACAAGTTATTATAAAAAGATTACAAAAAAGCAGTAAAACGCAGATCAAAACCTCACGAAAAGTAAATTTACACTAAGATGCAGACAATTACATGCATTTATATAATACACTCATGGCTATAGGAACTTCACAATTTCAAAGTTAATACTTAATCACACGTGATTGTAATTGTACATACCTCGAAACTACAGTAGATTCCCTACAATTCTCTCCTAAACTCGGAACCTCCTGACCTTACTCGTACTGACACCTTCAGCATTATCATCTCTCATTATCCACCCCTCACTCTTGACCAAGGTCTTATATATTCATCCACTTCTCGTCTTATAAACTATAATTGATATACATAGAATTTACCTGGAAATACAAAGTATTTTCCAACATACATAGAAACACATCCGGCGTCTGATTCATGTTATAAAAAGTAAACAAGTATTAAAATTGGAGGAAACTACAGTGAATGTATCCTAGTCCCAACAAGACCTTTTCGGTGATGCGGTCCCTGACTATATATTTAAAACTTTCACACGTATGGTATCTCTACATACTTTGGTTAACAATCAAAAAAGGAAATTTCTACATTACCACATAAATAAAAAGGACAAAGAAGTAGATAAATGTGTGTAGTAAAAATGTTCTATTGCTGAATTGTTATTTTATTTGAATCTTGCATAATAAATTCAATTCAATTCAATTAAACTCAAATGAATATTAAAGATCACAATGCAAGTTATGTTTACTTTTCTAAAGCATCTATAATGTCCCTTATACGATTATTAAATATCTCTGATTTGTTCAAGATTTTTTTTTTGAAGGATATGGAGTAATACATCATGCTTAACATGTGTAATGATACTTTAATTGGAAGGTATCAACACTGACATTGAAGGCTTGTTCAGATATGCCGCGGTGAATCACTGGAAACGAAATACGATTAAATTTAAATTTAAATTAATTAAACTGTGTGTCACGAAGATCCTGCGCGTATTGACCGAGCTCTAGCTGTGTCATAAGATACAGCAACGTGAAGTGCATTACTCTACGTCATCATTAACGTGGTTAAAATTCCGCCGCGGTTTTGCCGCGTTTCGTGCATGTGAACGAGGCTTACATTGAATTTCTTTGAATTACTCGAGGAATCGAATAACCGAACACTTTCATATCCGTACTCAACTGCTTTTCAAGCTTCTCCATTTGAAGATCCGACAGTGTTCCATAATACCTCCGCAAGACGCCATCCTCAGAACTATTTGTCGCATGTGGCGCTTTCACAAGCGACCGCACTGCAGAAGTGGCATCGAATATCTTAACGGTTTGCTTAAAATCGTCTGCGTACGTTTCGACGTTGCCGATATAATCGTAATCAAAACATGGTGGGCATACTTTGTGTAGTTCTCGCCAGTGCACGTCCTTAGACCCTGCACTCAGGTAATAGTCCACGAATTCTTTGAAAGTGACGTTGTATTTCTCGCTTGGCATCGACAGATCCGGCATCTCTGCGGGAGAATGGTTCCCGAACTTCAAATAGATATGTTTGTTTAACCTTTTACGATGTGCCAGATTCCGATTGGTGTGGATCTCCAGTCTGTCACGGAAAGCGGACAGAAGACGGGAATACGGATTGCGCACGAAGATCGCCGACGAGTAATTCCGTAATATACCAAGCCTCTTGCCAGATTCATAGCTGCCTAGCACGCGGAGATGCTTATGGCCTGCACGTACCATTTCCATCGGCGCCAAGCCATTCGTCGAGTTGATCGCGCCCTCTAGTATAAGTAGAGTTCTCACCCAGTTCAAGCTGGTTGCTTTCGGAATGAGACAGATGATGGTTCGGTATCTTTCGGAGACATAGATATTCCGATTGTAGCTCGGATTTGTAAGTATTTTGTTCAGCTTGAAGGTTTCTTTGTCACTGAAGCCGAGGGAGGAGCAAGCATGACGTTGGGTGTGTTGACGCATAGCCTGTAGAGGTACACCAGTCTGTGTTGTATACGACAGGGAAAAGATACATGAAAAAAAGAACACATTAGAATTGAGAAAGCATTATGGAAGGGGAAATGAGAGTGGTGTAGACAGAGATAGAGAGAGGGAGAGATTATGTGTGTACGTGTGTGTGTGTGTGCGTGTGTTAGTGTGATAGAGAGAGAGAGAGAGTGAGCGAGAGAGAAACAAGAGAGAGAGAGAAGGGGGATGGGGAGGGAGGGGGGGGGGGTGGAGGAAAAAAGATATATATAGAGAGAGAAAGAGAGGAGCAAAAGACAGAGAGGAGCAAAAGACAGAGAGCGGTGATGGGAGAGAGAGAGAGAGAGAGGGAGAGAGAGAGAGAGAATGTGTGCGTGTGTGCAGGATACATGTTTGTGGGAGATAGAGAAAGAGAGGGAAATAAAGAATGATAATTCAATTCGATCTAGATTCACGTGAAAGAACAGAGCCCTGATGTTTATTACGGGAAGAATTTAAAGACTGGAAAGTGATTACCTTATAATAAATACTTCACGTATCTTTAATTCTACCACTAATGAAAATAGAAAGGTAAAAACGTCATCTTGGTGCCCACAGTGTGATGATTAAATGTTGTTATAATTCTCGTGGACTGCAGCCCCCTAGCTATGTTTGGGTGGCCTTGTATATAATTCTGAGCAGTAGCGTACGCAGGATTTTTTTTTCGAGGAGGGGCTTTTAAAAATTTGAAAATCGCGCCGAAAATTTCGAAGGACTCAGCCAGCCGTTGAATAATGGAGGGTTAAGATCAGTTTTTTGTCACCCTTTAGCACAAAAAAGGGTTTTTTTCTTCTCCAAAACACAAACATAAACCAAAATTGAGGGGGGGGGGGTTCAACCCCCAAAACACCCCACCCCTGCGTACGCGCCTGCTTCTGAGCATTGTTATACCTGGGTTGCCGGACATGTACAGTTCTGCGAAAAGTGAACGTTGGGCCGTTGTGAAATTGCGATTCTTGGGTGTAAAACTCCATCTGTACATGGTTAAAGAAAATAAAGACGTGTTTTTCTTAAATCACCTTTTACATCTAGGCAATATGAGAAATCTCGCATAATCCCTAAATGATTTAGACACTCCAATTATCCTTTTGGTCTATGAGCTACACCAAAACTCTAGTGTTAATTTCACGTGTAGAATGCAAGGCAACATATCCACATTTGTTATTACTAATTTTCTAAATAATCCCATTACTTTGGCAGAAAGTTTAATGCTTCATTCAGCTGTTCAAAGTATTTTGATCACTAATGAAAAATCCCCCTTGTTTTAATTATTATTTGTAAATTGAGGTGACGAAGGATTATCCAAATTGAATTATTTGTAATTATTATATAGATATATGATGAAATATGAAACAAAATAAAACTAATCTAAACGATGTAGCCAAGCTATGCAATTAAGATAAGAGTATGAAAATGTGATATATAAGATTTAGAGAAGGCAAATAATTTGTCTTCCATGAGAACGAACATAAGAGACAATGTACATGTTTGTCCCTTCTTTTACGAAGTGACGGTAATTAGGAAAATTGCATATAATTTCAGTTTTCTTTGTTTTGGGTGCATTTTTGGACATCATTCACTAACATCGTGAACCTCACACAATTTCGAACCACAATAATATCTAACTATGTCACTATGACGATGACGTAAACAAGAAAATACCTAGTATTAAAAGGATTTCCTGTTTTCACGAAGTGACGGCCAAGTGCGCGATTAATTTTACACCCGGCCGTCACTTCGTGAAATTCTCGTCCTATCTTTTTCTGCTTTTATATGTTTCACGAAGTGACGGGAGTGAAAATTTCGCAATTTGGAACAGTCACAGACAATGAAAAGGTGAGTTTGTTATATTGGTTAAGGTAAAGTAATGTGATACACTCTTTGGATTCATTCTGATTCTTTGTAAGCCATAAATATGTCCATGAGCGGTGGGGGGGGGGGGGGGGGTGGGGGTAGGGGGTGGGGGGTAGTGTGCACTTTTCTTTCTTTTTTTTGCTCCCAAAAATTCGCTCAGTGGGGGGGGGGGGGTAGTAGTCACATTTTTTTTTTTTTGCCCTCGAAAATAAAAAAAATTGCACCCCCCCCCCCTTGAGCGCCAGGGGGGGGGGGGGCCAACCCCCAGAAAAGGTAAAAATCACGTGTTTTAACACGTTTTTTTCCCAAGGGGGGCGGGGGCCGGGGACTGGGACTGGTACATCTAATTTATGATTAATCATGACCAGTCTGTGTAATGCCATCCATTGATTTGCGCTCACTACCGAACTTGCGATCGATAAAAATCTTTGAAATGCACTGCTTTTACATATGATGGCTACATAAGCAATTATGTTACATCTAATTTTCAACAATGCAGCAGGTTAGATACAAATCCAGGTGAGAATAGTTGTCATGGTCTGTGAAAGAAAATCACACATTAGCAGCACATAGAGAGTTATGATTAATCATGACCAGTCTGTATAATGCCATCCAATGATTTGCGCTCACTACCGACCTTGCGATGGATACAAATCTTTGAAATGCACTGCTATTATATTATGATGGCTACATAAGCAATTAAATATTAACAGGGAAATATAGATATGGAATATGTAATGCACTTAGCGGAAATAGTACAAAGCTGGACAGGAACTTGTTTCTATTTTGGCGAAGGCTATATATGTACATGACCATTGCTATATAATATTTTCAGCTAAAACTTCTATGAACCAAAATTTGTTGTAAATAGAGTGTGTAGAGTCATGTCTTGATCATCTTGTATTACAAGTACCAAGCACACTCACTGCATAATGCATTGGGGTGGTAGTTGTTTGGTAGGGGCAATTGAAAACGTCTGTTTTGGGTCAGTTATGCCTAGTAATTAATTTGATGTCCAAAAGATAGTATTATATTTCTTTCTTTATCTCTGCTTGCAAAAAAAAGGACATACCTTTTACTGTAATTGTTTCTTTTATTCTACAAAATTAGATTGGATACAGGAACCGACATGTTGGTTAGATGGATCCTTGATAATTCACTGAACACAGAGCTGCAGATGTGACTTGGCAAGGTGACCTCAAGGTGGGAGCGGTATGGAATTGTTATTAAAAGCAATTCACTGAATACAGTCAGAGCTGCATATGTGACTTGGCATGGTGACATCAAAGTATTTCAGATGGCTTCGATGGCGATTCTGATGATGAGCCACTGTCTATGCTTGTGAACAAGTCAAAGGGTATCTTCTTCCCTTCTTGATCATTTCCCAGTAGTTGAAATTTGAGATATTCCTAATTAATTGTTTTTAATGTTTAGGTCTCTCAGTTTAAGGGAAAGAGTGGTCCTATCGGAGTCAGCATTTTTTTTTTTTTTTTTTTTTTTAACTTGGACTTTTTTTTTATTATAATCTTTTTCTCTCTTATTTCCTTTTGCTTTCAAGCAGTCTAGATCAAGAATCTTCGCTGCTTTAACCACTATCGCTTGGATGACATTACGTTTGAAGAAACTTGGAAGAACTTTTGTTGAAGAGCATGCTTAAGAAACTAGAATCAATTATATTGATCGTTGTGGCAATGCTTCAATGTTTCAATACCTCAATCTCTCTTTTATACTGTTTAATTGTAAACATTTTGAATATCATAATATAGAAAACTCCACTCATCATTTTAATTGTGTGTAGAATTCAGTAATCGCAAGAAATGGATTGATTATAAAATCAATGAATTGATTTATAGTGAACTGGTAACATTGTCCATAATTTCTGAAACAATGAACCGAATGGTCGTACCTGTGTAAGTTTTCTGATACTGTATTGTAATGAACTCTTGCAAACATAAATCGTTGATATTCAAATGTATAGTTCAGAACAACTATTTATCAGGTACCTACCTCGTTTTTAGAAATCAGTAATGCATATTAGAGTTTTTGGATTTCAGTTCCATGAATTCTCATATCGTATCTTTGTATTGAAGAATGTGTTTATTTCTTTTAAATGTTTGTATTTACAGGGGTTGAGGCCTTTATTAGAACATGAATATAACTTACATTTCCACAATTAGTTTTTCTGTCAAAACACGATGTTACTAGTTCACATTTAATGTTTTCATTTATTTAGTCATTCTCATCATAATTGTATTTGGTACTTCAAATTATCCTATAATCATACAATACAATGTTGCCGTTTTGAACTAATCTGTATGATGAGAAATGAATTTGTTTAGTCAAAATGATATTTCTAAGGTTTATCAGGCATTGTTCAGCTGATAATTGTTTAGTCAAAGATTACGTGTTTGCCTGGGTGAAGATAACCTTTTAGCATTGGTAAACTTTGTAGCGTTTGGGACTGTGTACTAAATTTTATTGAAATAACCTACAAAGAGATTGTGTAAACCTGACTTGCTTCTGATACTCTACTCACAAAACATTTATGAAAAACACTGAGTGATGAAATAAAAAGTCCCGATGAAGATTATATTAGTCATATTTCCCATTGAAAAACTCCACCTTCTTTTTTCTTCTTCAAGAACTGCCTTGTTTTAGTCAGGTGGCTTAGTGTCAATTTCATCGATTATCGTTACTTTCCGGATAAAAGCACCATTTTTGGTACAGGGCTCACTTAGGACCTACTAAACGATATTAGGCTAAAAGCCCCCGGCAAAAATGTCAATTTAAGGGTGTGGGGGCGGGGGCGTCGTTTGGAGCCCCCAAATAATTTTATAACATTGATTTGTTGTTGTACAAACGCCATTTTTGGTACAGGGCTTCCTTAGTACCTACTGAACGATATTAGGGTAGGAGCCCCCGGCAAGAGTGTCATATAGGAGTGTGGGACAGGGGCGTCGCCTCGTAGTCCACAAATCATTTGTAAGGTACTAAAACATTGATTTGTTGTCGTACAAATGCCATTTTTGGTACAGGGCTTCATGAGTCTTTGAAAACTTTGTTAATACTGCTTTTCAAAGTATTATTAAAGAGCAGCAAAGGCGAACGATTGTCGCTTCAAT